CCATCACAGATTGTTCCTTTATCAAGATACCAAATATTTATATCCAAATAAATTTAGATTTAAGATAATGGATGAGATAATGAATAGGTAAAATAAACGAGGACGTGTGCCCCCTGCTGGATCCTTAAGTCAGAATCTATGACATGTGGAATGATACATTATTTCTCTAGGAATTTTGAATAAACAGGAAATTTGGGTTAAAAACAATTTATGAAATGTTCACGTAATTTGCTATTGAAAGCATTTTTAAAGTCTACTTTGATCATGTTAAGAGGAGGGTTTTGGATATAATACAAATGGCATGTGAAGCTATTTTGCCTTCTCTCGACACTAAATCCTGATTGATACATATACTTAATAAGTTAAGACCCTGGGTTTTGACCCGTGGCTATTATTTTTGCTAATAATCTTTAATTAGTCCATTGTAATGGAGTTGATACCACCATAGTGTTTGTGAGATAATCAGGTTTGCCCCCATAATTGATTCGAATCTATAATGGCAGGTCTTTTTTAAATGAGTATTTAGCAGAGTTGTTAATCGCTACTTTTAAAAGTAGCGTTACCGCTATCGCTATTTATCAAAAAATTAGCGCGCTACCGCTTATCGCTATTTTTCAAAAAAGTAGCGCGCTATTAGCTACTATTTTTTAAAAGTAGCTTTAGCTACTTTTTAAGCTACTTTTTATAAAAAAAAATTAGAAACAAATTTGTTTTATTTTTTGCTTATAATGTTATTGTATAGTAAATATATAAAAATAAACATTTATAAATATTAAAATATAGTTAGTTTTGATTATAAAAAATTTTATGTAATAAAAATAAATATTTATGGTAATTTGTTGCATTTTATAAGTTTTTACCTTGTGTTATGTGTCTAACTATCTGCCGTGGTACATATATATGATATCTCTGATAACTCTACTATTAGAGCATCTTTCATCACTTTAAAGTTATTTGCTATTTTATTCATTAGTGTCTGGCCACATAAAATTGTTGTACCAGTGGATAGATTTTTAATCATCATAGTAAATGATGGATTAGCAACCAAAGTCATTGGCTGAACTGTATCAGTTATAAAATCAACAATAACTATCAGCAAATTTCTGAGAAATATTGGCATTTGTATTATTAATCAATTTGGTTTGAATTGAATTAGTCTTTTTGGGTAGAGTCGCCTATATCAAAATATTTAGATGTTTCTCCATTTCCTTAAAACTATTGGCATGAACAGTCTTATAAAATAAATACTATTAGAATGTAAAAATGACAATTTACCTTTAGGTGTTTCTTGATATTAACTAGATTGATTTATGATATATTTTTTCTACATTTTAAACAAATAAATTTGGAGCTAGTTTAGGTTTTAATATTTATTTAAAAAATTTTTCAAATCTAGGGAATAGGAAATTTGTATTATAGCTATTAAGAACATTTCCTTCCTGGTATCTTCCATTTCATTAATATCATTGTCTGAATCACTTTCAACGATTTGGATATCCATAGGCGATGACATTTTAAATTATTAACACGTGATTTAGGTTTATAATACAAATGAAAATATAAATTACAAATTGAAAATATATTTCAATTTCAATAATTATGATATTATATTTAAATTTTCATGTATATACTTACCTTCATTATATTTTTTGAAAGTAGCTAAGTAGTGCGCTAAAAAATTAAATAATTACAAAAAAAGTATCCGATATTAGCTATCGCTACTTTAACAACTCTGGTATTTAGGAAGGTTTTTAATGCATTTAAATGATTCATTGAGATGAATGTAGATTTTATACGAAATGAGAAGGCAAAACCATTGTATCTGGATGTGGAAAATTTGTTAAAAGAATTGATAAATATCATAACTCACAAATCATATTTTTTTTATTTCATATTTTCCATAATATATTTGGCCTTTTTTCTAAAAATTTAAAAAAATCTTGGAAGAATGAATACAGATAATCTATTCCTCTCATTTGACTATTCTGATTCATCCATCGTCAAATAAAGGTATAATTTATTATTTATCCATAGGGAAAAATTTTTGATTCCTCGTCATTCTTGACGGGCTATCAGCTAATAGTAAATATTTGTATAATTTTTATTTCTCATTGTTCCTGCTCAATAAAATTAGCTATTGAAAGTATAGTCATTTATATTATGGCAATACAAAAATTAATAATATTTTTATAATATCCGTCCTTAACCTCATACCCATATTATATTTTTATTTAAACTCTGATATCTCATGATTTGTGATCCTTCGCCATGTTATTCAGCACTATTTGTGATTCATGGGAATTTCTGATACCGCACCATTTGTAATTCCCTGGCTACACTCCCTCCGGCCGAAGGCTGGACATATCAAAAAATAAAAATAAATATTTTCTCAACATTCAATTCTAAATTGAACTCATATTCAAGTAAATTCAATTCTAATGGGTCATATGACGTGAAACCCAACAAAATCGACTAACATTGCAAAATAAAGTTGGTCATTATATTATATATTAAAATTCTTATATTTTCTTACATTTTAGATTATATCTATTTTAGCTTCTGATGAAATTCCAACTATTTCTAGAGAATTGAACCTAATATTGACTCCTCTAGGTTTAATGCATTAATATTTTTTAAATTTTTCTTTTGCTTTTATTTTGGAAAACAGACCCTTATGCCTATCGCTTTATGGTCAGACAGGATGATAAAAATATTATTTTAAGATCCTATACACTTTTGCACCAATTTAACCTGGACAGTTATGCCAAACATTAAACGCTTCGATTTACGTAATAATCAGTCCAAATTAAGCGCAGAACTCTATCAAGTCATTCAATGCTGACACTTTTGGCAGAAGAATCATTTTGCATTCTTCTTTAAATCAGCTTTATCGGGACGCAATAGCTACTGTACATAGCTTTAGTAAGGTGTCATCATTCAGTACTTTCACCTGCAACCAGCGTCTACATAACAGGATATTCATTGGATGCAAACCCCTCTCAAAAATCGCTGCAACCCTAAATAGGATGAAATTATGCGTGAATTATTTCCTAATCAGACTCAAAACGACCTCCCAATTTAGTTTGTGGCTTTTTTCATCAAAAATTAAAATGTCAGAAAGGATTTGCTCTAAATTTTAACAGATGCGCAAAATAATAATTAGTCCTCATTATTTTTTTAAAAAATTAGCCTAAATTTATATGGATTGACAAGAAAAACAAATTTCTTAAAAAATATATAAATAAATTGCAAATAAGTTTCATTAATATTGAATGGCATTTATGTAATTTAAATATATACCATTTTTTGTTTCTTAATATAAAGATATAGTCCTTATCAAATTCTTTAATAAATAATTTCTGAAGGGAAGACATACACTAAATTTATTTGAAAAAAAACAATAAACCAATAAATAAACAACAATTTATTTTCTATATATAATTTTAATTGATCAAAGTACAAAAAAATCATTTATTTATTTCATGGATAATAAATAATGATGCAAACATTAATCATTCAGCATATAAAAAATCAATTTTATCTGTAGAATTGTTGCAATGGAAGCAATTTCAATATATATTTTTCTCCATAACTTAAATTTGGGGGTTATCTCCAATAAAACGAGGTAATATTTGTTATTTCTTATAAAATATACTAGGATATACCTAATTTTATCATGATTCTCTAATAAGTGGTTTGCCCGGGCTTTCCCAGTTTTCCTAATTACGAATTAACTTCTTTTTTTTATATGTATAGGAGTTAATCAGTAAACTAACTGGTAAATCGGAGATTTGCCCTTCATTTGATGATAATTAATTGGAAATCTAACTATCTCCGCGCTTGAGAAAAATTTTTCAAAATTATTATGAATTAGGCTGGGCTTGGAAAATATTCCTCAAAATTAATATGGGCTTAAACCTGGCAAGGGAAAATCTTTTACAAATCATTATGGGCCAGGCTTGGGAAAAATTTAAAATTATTTTGAGTTGGACCAGAGTTGAGAAAAAATTTTCAAAATTATTATGTGTTGGGCTAAGCTTGCGAAATTTTTTAAAAAATTATTAAGGTCTTGGACACTTGGAAATTTTTAATATATATATGGACCAGACATTGGCCTAAATAATTTTTTTGCAGGCCTTGGCCGGTTCTGATCAAAAAACCAAGGACCATGCTAATTCTGATGGCATTTTTAAATGCAATATGAATTTTTTAAAATTTTATTTTGGTTCTAAACTATCAAAATTATTATAATATTTGACAGGACTTGGGGAAATTTTTTCAAAATTATTCTGGGCTTGGACCCGGCTTGGGATATTTTCATATTAAATATTAACCATAGATAATCAGTAATATTTTAAAAAAGAATTTTGATATGGGGTAAAAGCTAATGTAAATATATTTTGATTCAAAAAATGGTATTCACTCTTAGTTTTAATGAAATGGACTTAACCTGAATGGTAGGGGGAGGTGGTAAAAAGAATAAAAATTGGATATGATTTTTAAATAAAAGGTAACATCCATCGTAAAAGAACGAATAAAATTCTCATTCCCCATCATTTTTGACGGGCTATCTACTAGTTACCAAATAAAACACTTGCAACCCTATATCATCAAATCAAATCACATTGATCATACATTGACTTAAGTGCCATAAAATATTTTTTATTATTATATTTACTTATGTTATAGGTTAAATTTAATATTATAAAATAACGTTTCCTAGATTTTAAATAAAAATTTTATAAACAGGTATTATTTATTAATTTTTCTAAAAAAAATTTTTGATTATATTTAAAAAAAATTGGATAATGACAATAAATATATTATGTAAGGTATTAATATTTATTTAAAAAAATATATTATTTATTTATTTCTATTTTTCGTTATTAATAATTTAAACAAAATAATGTTTTCTATATATATAATATAATTTTATTTTTATTGAAATATATTGATTTTTTAGAATGAAACCATTTTTAAAGAAAGTTTGAACATTTTCATCTATTTTATTTACGTATAAAACAATTAAAATATTAAGAAATCAAAATTTTTTAATAAAAATTTCGGACTTTTTCAAGGGTTAGAAAAGGTGCCCAAGAGGAATTATAGCGTTATGGATTGTTCTTCATCTGATAGCGATCATTCTTTTATCAGTATAAAAGACGGTGCTATAAATTCGAATCTAGATAATGCCAAACAAAATTTAGTTTTTTCTGATGTACTGGAAAACAATGATCATAATGAAAATACTAAAGTGGAAAATACTAAATACAAGAAAATTATAAACTGGAAGCCAACCATTTCTCAGTCTATTGATGATAAAGTATGCATGCAATTCAACATTTTTCATGTGATTTATTGATATAATTTTTTTTAAAAAAATTTAAAATAGGGTAGGTTGGGTTTTGTAAAAAATAATTTTTAAAATGATATCATTTTTACTTCCCAGACCGGATTTGATTTGTCGTACTCTGAAATAAATCCTCAATATTTTTATTGTAAATATTTTTAAAAAACCCACAATGTTCAAAAAGTGTTGTATACTGATATCTATTAGTGTTTTTATGTTATGTATTTACATCCAGAATTTATATAATTTTTAATCATAAAAAATAAGTTGACATATACTGAAAAATATATTTTAAAAAAATCAGCCAATCTTAAATAAAATCTTAATTTTACCGATAAACTTGTTTTCTATTTCTATTGGATTCATATTTTTTATAGTATATATTTGAATCAACAAATTTGAAAATAATTTTCATTTAAAAAATTATCGATTGTTTTCATTATCATCTTTATATGAATTTAATTCTCTGGCCATGAATAATGAATTATGATACTACTAGATTACGAAATAGATTATGGCTTATAATATATTTATTTCTAAGGCAATTTTTGTGTGTGATTGTTTTATTATTGTTTAGTTAATTTTTTTTAAAGGGATATAATCATTTTCAATCACTATAAACATTGTTTCAATTTTATCTTCATTTTAAAGATAAGATAAAATACATATCATTTCTAGGCTAAAATTTAGATCATAAAAAATAAAGAAATTTACCAATTATTCTCATAAGGAAGGATAATTATTAATAATTATACTATAATCAATCACACTTATCAAAAATCGAATATCGTATTTTCAAATATCAAGGTATATTAAATTTAAAATTATTTGATAAGGAAATACCGGTTTCACGTCATTACAGAGATTACAGAGAATGTATTTTACAGAGAAACTTTTATAGAGAAAACAAAAATAGAGAATGTACTTATAGAGAAAACAATTATAGAGAATGTCGTTTATAGAGAATAATTTTATAGAGAATAATTTTATAGAGAATAATTTTATAGAGAATAATTTTATAGAGAATAATTTTATAGAGAATAATTTTATAGAGAATAATTTTATAGAGAATAATTTTATAGAGAATAATTTTATAGAGAATAATTTTATAGAGAATAATTTTATAGAGAATAATTTTATAGAGAATAATTTTATAGAGAATAATTTTATAGAGAATAATTTTATAGAGAATAATTTTATAGAGAATAATTTTATAGAGAATAATTTTATAGAGAATAATTTTATAGAGAATAATTTTATAGAGAATAATTTTATAGAGAATAATTTTATAGAGAATAATTTTATAGAGAATAATTTTATAGAGAATAATTTTATAGAGAATAATTTTATAGAGAATAATTTTATAGAGAATAATTTTATAGAGAATAATTTTATAGAGAATAATTTTATAGAGAATAATTTTATAGAGAATAATTTTACAGAGAATGATTTTATAGAGAATGATTTTACAGAGAATGATTTTATAGAGAATGATTTTATAGAGAATGTATTTTATAGAGAATTATTTTATAATGAATGTATTTTATAGAATTATTTTATAAAGAATGTATTTAATAGGGAATTATTTTATAGAGAATTATTTTATAATGAATGTATTTTATAGAATTATTTTATAAAGAATATTATTTAATAGAGAATTATTTTATAAAGAATTTTATTTAAGAATATGATTATTTTATAAAAAATATATATAGTCATAGGAAAAGAAATTACAGCATTTGATTACCTTATATAAGAGAATAATTGGGTAGTTTTTGAATTATTACAATCGGTACAGAAAATTAATTGTTTATCTTTGCACAAAGCTTTTCGATTATTAGCTGAATTAATGGTAGAACAAAACTTAGACATGATTTGTAAGGAAAATCATATACCAAAAGAATATAAAAATTTTTTACAAATTTAAATTTATTATTTATTATATTTATTTAAATTAAGTAACTAGTTACTTTTGGCAGTTACTTTTGGCAGTTACTTTCTAAAAAATGTAGCTAGCTAAAGTTACGATTTTGTAAATATAACTAGTTATAAATATTTTTTAGCTAAAATGTAGCTAGTTAATGGTAACCACTTAATTTGACAAAACTAATGTAGAGATTTTCATTTATAAGCTTTTTTTATCTTCAGCAAAATTTATTTAGTCTTTATATTATTATTCTTCCTAAAAATTTTCAATTATAGATGGGATACTCCGATAATCTATTCTTAAGTTAAAAGTTATTTGCCACTAAGAGATAAACAAATTTTGACATGATTTGTGGAATTTTACGAAATTTATTTTTAAAGATAAGAATACAAAATAAAATATATAGTGTTGTTAAAAGTTACTTTGGCAATGTGACTTAAAGAATATGTTTAATACTATTTGTATGTGAAGTTTTTATAAGATAAACCTTGATAATATACTGAGCTTAGCAATATTCATTTCGAAATATCAAATATATTTTTATTCATAAAAATCCAAATAAACATAGTATAAATAATATACCAATATAAAAAAATACAATTATATGATTAAATTAAACATTTAAATTTAAATTATGGGATAAAGCCCTTAAATAATTCAGCATGGTTCTCCAATAAAAATCTTCAACAATTAGAAAAATCCTTTTGGATCTTTCGCGATATTCTTTCTTTGACAGCGGAGCCAATAGTCCTAAAGAATATTGTTCCAATTTGTAACAATTCAGGCTATCTTCGTCTTTGAGAGCTAAAAATTAAAATCCTAAAACTTATAATATAATATAATTACTAACTTTTTATAAATTTCCAGATAGTTGAATGATGGGAACTTATATGAGACGAAAAACTTCTATGCCAGTCCTCTACTGAATTATTTGTATTCGGTTCAAGAGATAGTGTCGATTCGTAGCAATTCCATAGAGTAGAGAAATGCTAAATATTGGCGACTTCCTCTCCATCGTTATCATTTTTCCAATCCACGCCTCTTCAAAGTATTCTATCAAGGGGGAGAGAATATCCCTATTTTCTTGATAAAATTTAGAGGCCATAATTCCTCGAATCCATGAATTACATCTCAATTGGTACATATGCCAGTGACATTAACATTTTTATGTACATAGCAAAATTTGTTTTGGTTTTGTATGCATTGCAAATTAGCGTATTTTTTTGAAACCGTGCGCCATATGCATTGAGACTGATGAAACAGGCATCCGCGCAAAAGTAACTGGCTACTTAATTTATATATATTTCAATATATATAATTAAATAATAAATTTAAATTTGTAAATTTTTTTAACATTCTTTTACTAATTTTATTTTGTACTTATCTTTAAAAATAAATTTCGTAAAATTCCTTACAAATCATGTCAAAATTTTATTCTACCATTAATTCATCTAATAATCGAAAAACCTCGCTTATATAAGGTAATTCTAATATTTAAAATTATGTAAAATACTATAACTTTTTTTTCCTATGACTATTTGTAACATTTTTTTATAAAATAATCATATCTTTAAATAAAATTCTTTATAAAATAATTCTCTATAAAATACATTCTTTATAAAATAATTCTCTATATAAAATAATTCTCTATAAAATCATTCTCTGTAAAATCATTCTCTATAAAATTATTCTCTATAAAATCATTCTCTGTAAAATCATTCTCTATAAAATTATTCTCTATAAAATCATTCTCTATAAATTAATTCTCTGTAAAATCATTCTCTATATACGACATTCTCTATAAATGACATTCTCTATAATTGTTTTCTCTATAAATAAATTCTCTGTATACATTCTCTATAAAATAATTCTCTCAAACGTGTCTCTATAATTGTTTTCTCTATAAAAAATTCTCTGTAAAATACATTCTCTCTAAAATAATTCTCTATTAAAATAATACTCTAAAAAGTTTCTCTATAATTGTTTTCATTGTAATGGTTTCTCTGTAATGACGCGATACCGGAAATACCTGCCCCACACTATCCCTGGTCTCACTTACTATAGATATATTTAATTTTTTAATAAAATTTTTTAATAAAATTTTCAAATAATATATTTAATTATAAATTATATTAAAAAAACAGGACGCTTCCTAATATATGCTACAATTCTTATGGGATCAATGTTTGTTTTTTATTTCCAAATTTAAGGCGCACTTAATATTAGTATATTATTTTACTAAACAATTCCTGATCCTTAGCACTTGAGACTAAGAAATTATCGAATGTAATCGTTTTCAATTTTATCCATCTTATTTTTGTAATCGATTATGGAAATATTTCTTATTTCTCCAATAATTTCCTAAATAAGAAGTATGTAAGTTTAAGAGCTGATTCTTTCAGGAGTTTGGTGGGCTTGTGGGCTTTGGGCTTAAGCATTAATATCAGAATTTTTATTTGACTTATAATTCTATTACTTCTCTGTGATATGCGAAATTGATTAAAATTAATAAGTAAACCTTCATACCACAAAAACTCACACGATAGAGTAGGAGGGTTCCCCTGGACCACCATTTAGATATGATATTTTGAATCTAATTAATTTGTAGTTTTCATTTATAATATATATTAAATAAACTCTAATTTTGTGACTTATTTTGTTATTTTAAGATTTTATTACTATTATAAAATTTATGACAGCTATTGCAAAGAGAACAAAACTTAAAAATTATTTTAAAATGCCTAATATGATGTAAAAAAACATATAAATAAAATAATAATGATGATTTATTTAAGGTTCAAATATTAATACATAATTTTTTTCTTAAATATATTTTTCAAATAAAGCTTTTAAGATTATTTTAAAAAAATATATAATTTTTAATTAATTGAAATAATGGATAAAAAAAGGGCTCATTTAGTTTAATATTAATAAATCAATGCTAATAGAAATAAAAAGGTTAAAGGCATGATTAAGTGTGGTCCATGCGACTCCACACCAAAAAACCAGTTATAGCTCATGAACTAACAAACAAAATTAATTGTGG